GACAACGTAACAAACAGCTCCGCAAACGTCGCGGCTCAGATAACGCTTTCACACCTGAATACATTCGCACGCCTGATTAAGCACTGACAGCCATAAAGGAAGATTATACGTTGTAATACGTCTTTGCAAGAAGCAGCGTATTAACCACTGTTTGTATACTTCTCCAATTACGTTCCTTTAATTCTTTCACTTAGAAAACAGTTTACATTATAATAGCCAGCATCACTTCTGTTTTTGAAACAATTGATTACATGTATATTGCCAAATTATGGGTCTACAGGACATTTTCATAAGTGAAAACAACTGTAAAGGATCTTCGAAAACTCCCTTTAATTGGGGCGCCTGGCGACGTGCCGATGGACTAACGGTCACCTACCTACTCCTGCTGTTCCTAGGGCCTCCCAGTGGATGCGAACATCCCATTTTTCTCTCTCAACTCTTCTGGGAGCAGAGATTGAAAAACGGTGCCGGCAACAGCTCCCTCCCCGGCCCCTGGGCTTTCTGTCCCGCAGACCCCAGCCTGGCCAGGCTGTCACACTGCGCGGACAGTGAGCTGGTGATGCCAGGGGTTTCTTCTGTGGCTGAAGGTGCCGCTTCCCTACCAGAGCCCCCAAATCCTGCCAAGCCCACCCGCCCAGATCCAGCCAGCGTGGAGTCTTCCCTGGGACCACGTAAGCGTGTCAGAAGCCGTGCAGCGGTGAACAGCAGGGTGCCCAAGACAAGACGTCAGTGAGGAGAAGAGCAAGCCGCTGAAGGAGGGACAGGGCAGGCATGGCCAGGTGGGGCAGAAAGGGCCCCGGGACCCGGCACAGCCCAGTGAGCAGAGGCTAGGAGGCAGCAGGGGGAAATAAATGACTCAGACCCGTGGCAACACCTGTCCTCGTGGGATTCTGTGGAAGCTGAGGCTCAGTTTAAGTGACTTGTGTGAGGCTGCCAGCTAGCAAGTGGCTAAGCTAGCAGGTAAGTCAGCCTATTAACCCAGTGCACACCCCCTCTCCACAGCTTAGCCAGGCTGGGCACGAGCCCCAGTGTTTTCCAGGAGAGCACCGTGGGCTTCTACTGGGGAAAACTGGAGCAGACATCCTCTTCCCTATTCCTCTCACGAAGCACAATGAAACCTGTTGATGTCATGGGTAAAACAAATGTGAGAATTCTCCAGAAGATGTGGAGAAGGCAGAAGACAAGGGGCCTCAGGACTGAGGAACAGCACGGCAATGAGTCCCCTGGCTTCTCAGGTTGTCTTGTGAATCCCAGTGGGCTCCACCTAGAGACACCCACAGACCGAGATGAGAAAAGCCCGCTCCCTCCAGCCAAACGACAGGGACACGGGGGGCCTCATACAACAGACATTAACACAGGAACGCCTCTAGTCCAGCCAAACACCACAGAGAAAAATGTCGCTCTGTCCCCAGCTACCAGCAAAAGTTGAGTGCAGAGCCTTGCCCTGCACCCTCACCGGGCTACTCTACCAACCCAGGCAACGGTGCAGGAGGCTGAGCTGGGAAGCCGGACCCCACTCACCGCACGCCCCCGCCCCGCCACTGATGTGATGGTGACGCCGGAGCAGGGTCCGAGGCCAGCCTACGAAGGACAAGGTCTGGATGAGACCGGAGTCTTACACCTTGGTGCACACACTGGCCAGGTGCCCGTCAAAGACCACTCGTCACATGGGAGCAGGGCAAGTCTCAAGAGCAACACGAGAAGACATGAGCAGCTGCCAACACCGAAGTCACACAGATGTTAGAGCTGCCTGATGAGGATTTTAAAGCAGTGATCAAACACATGCTTCAACAAGAATCGACACAAATGAAAAATAGAAAGTCTCAACAAAGACATGAAGCGTTTCAGCAGACAGAAAATATGAAGAACCAAACGGCTATTTTAGAACTAAAAATTATTGCATTTGAAGATTTCAAAAACTCACAAGGTGGGCTCAGTAGCAGAATGGAGTAGACAGAAAAGAATCAGTGGAGGAAAAAAAGGTAGAACAATAGAAATTCCTCGTTGTAGTGACCATATTAGCAAGCTGGTGAGGAAGGAGTCACACGATCACATCAATTCTTGCAGAAAAAACCGTTTGACAGTTCCCCCCAAACTGACATATAGGTTTAACACAATTCCCATCAAAATCCCAGGAAAATTTTTCTTCAGATATAAACAATATTATCCTAAAATCTATATGGATTATAGACAATAATTATAGGTTATAAATCATAAAATTTTTAGAAATAAGAGAATCTTCAGGACCTCAGGCTCGGTGAGGAGATATGACACCAAGAGCACGATCGATGAGGGAAAACATCAGTGCACCGTGTGGGGCGTCCGATCAGGTGGGGCAGGCGGCACGGGCGGTGGTGGGACTCACGGGGGGCAGGACGGCATAATAGAAGGCTTCCTGAGTTCACGGCAAGATAGCAGCGGGCAGGGCAGCAAGGGAGGGACTGTCTGCCACGGGCAGTAGCCAGGTGCGCCCATTACAGGGTTATAGGGCGGACTGAGGAAGTATGGGGATGTATGGAATCTCCCCTTTCTTGGTAATCTCAGGAACCGTGCCTGGTCCTAGGCAGCCCATCTGTCAGCTAGGGCTGATGGCTCTTTCCAGGTGGGTCCTGCAATGGGCCTGCTTGCGTCAGCCCGGCGGGCACTCTGGGCCTTTCTGCCTCACTCAGGTTCCCACTGCTCAAGCCTGTTGCTGAGAAGCAGCCTCTACATGCTGGATTCAGCAAAATTAAAGAGAAATGTTGCTCTAGAAAAGACCTCGTAGAGAAGACGAAACACAAGCTGCAGACCAGGAGAAATGTTCTGCGAATCGAATATCTAACAAAGTACTCATATTTAGAATAAATATATAAAGAAGTCTCAAAATTCAACAGTAAAAGAAACAAGCAACTCAATCAGAAATGCACAAAAGGCATTGTTGTCTGCGGAATAATGGTCCCCAGAGATACATCTGTGTGCCCAGGCCTATAACCTAAGTATTTTCTGTTATATGGCAGAGGGTAACTGTGGTTGTAGATGGAATTAAGCTTGCTAATCATCTGAATTTAGATGGAGAGATTACCCTGGATTATCCATGTGGTCCCGTATTCGGGTTCTCCAGAGAAACAGAGCCAATAGGTGGTGCATAGAGGGAGAGATTTATTTTAAGGACTTGGCTCCCAGGATTGTGGAGTCGGATGCACCTCAGATCTGCAGAGCAGGGAGCAGGCTGGAGACCCAGGCCGGAGTGGTGTTGCCGTTCAAACCTGAAGGCCATCTGCTGGAAGAGGTCCCTCTTGCTTAGGAGAGATCAGTGCCTTTGTTCTAATCAGGCCTTCAGCTGATTGAATGAGGCCCACCCACATTATGGAGAACAATTTGCTTCACTCCAAGTACACCAATCTGAACATAAATCTCATCAAAAACACCCTCACGGAAACATCCAGGGTAATGTTTGACCATATATGTAGGCATGTGGCCCAGCCAAGTTGACACATAAAATTAACGATCACAGAGCCCAGTATAATCCCAAATGTCCATATAAGTGGCAGAGGGAGAACCAGAGATAGGAAGGGCTTTGAAGATGGAGGAGAGAGACCACAGTCAAGGGATGTGGTGCCTTCTGGAAGCTGGAAGAGGTAAGGAAAGAGATTCAGAGAGCCCCCAGAAGGCACACATCACTGCCAGCACCCCGATTTTAGTGAGACCCAGTGTGGACTTCTCACCTCCAGAACTGGTAAGATTATAAATCTGTGGTTTAAGATTTTATTTATTTATTCGAGAGAAAGAGAGAGCACAAGCAGGGGGAGTGGGAGAGGGGGAAGCAGACTCCCCACTGAGCAGGGAGCCCAATGCGGGGCTCGATCCCAGGACCCTGAGATCATGACCCGAACCTAAGGCAGCTGCTTGACCAACTGAGCCACCCAGGTGCCCCAATAAATGTATGTAGTTGTTTTAAGTGAGTGTTGGGGACACACCAGTCCAAGGTGAGTCTCTCCAGCTCTGCTTCCCACACCCTTACAGGGAGATGCCAGGAGCTTCCTTCGATGAGCGCCGCCGCTTTCTCTGGGTGGTCATGTGGAGGAAGTCATGGATCAGGTCCAGGCCATTCGGGGCCGGTGGTTGGAGGGGTTGTTACACCCTCGATGGCCCCGCCGACAGCAGATCAGAGGTCTGGCGTCATTCATGGGGCTGCTCTCCGTTTGTGTGTTCTCTGCCTTGCTCGAAGGCTGCTGGCTCGAGGACCACAGCTGAATGGCACGAGTCCAGACCACTGGTCTACGCCATCGGACCATGAACCACTAATGAACTCAAGTGGGACAGGAAGCCCACTGTGCCACCTGCCAACATAAGCCATGTGACAGACACTGCAGACCTTCGCGGTGTCCACTCTGATCCCTCCTCAAGGAGGACGGCTTCCTGTACAGCCATCAGGAAGACATCAGCAAACAGCTGGAATACGTCCCCATACCACCAATATGGGGTGGGCCAGCCATTGCCAGGTTTTAGGAGGCATGGTTGTTGTCTCATGTTAGGACCACCCCCGGGACCTCACCCCTGTCCACACTGGCTGGGCAGACCAACGACCCCACTCTGAAGTGGGGACAAGCATGGTCCTGCGTGGGATGTGCTCGAGGCGAGCCCACCGGAGTGCTTCCTGTGGGTTTTTCTCCCTGGTACTGATGGAGAAAAGCCTCAAATCTCTAAGGGAATGAGCTCCCGTCTTGTGATCAAAGTCCACCCACAGAGAGAGAGCAGGGCTGAGTCTGAGAAGGAGGGAAGGCAGCAGGGGTACCACAAGAGAGCTGGGGCGCCACCCCTGCTCTTCCCAGACCCCTGGAACTGGGGTCTCCAGCACGTGCCATGTAACTGACCAGCTCTCCTTCCAAGGCACCTCTTTTCACATAAACTGATTTCGGGGGGTTCTGCCACTTGCCCTTAGAGTCTTGATTAATATCCCAGCCCTTCAGGCTTCAGGGTCTGCAGTCAGGGGAAGGCTCCAGAACAGGCACTGAGGGCCCTAAGGGGATCTCTGTTACCCTATTGCCCCAGTCAGCCTCCCGGCTTCTTCCCAGTCACAGGTCCCTGAACACCACCCTCCCCACACAGAGGGCAGGACCCGGCTCACTTCCTGCGGTGATGTCACAGGTCCCTGAACACCACCCTCCCCACAGAGGGCAGGACCCGGCTCACTTCCTGCGGTGATGTCACAGGTCCCTGAACACCACCCTCCCCACAGAGGGCAGGACCCGGCTCACTTCCTGCGGTGATGTCACAGGTCCCCGGACATTCCACGGTATCGTGGAGACCAAGGTGGGCGAAGCTGAGGGCCTTAGGGGAAGGTCTTCCTCCTTCGGCTGGAGAGAACATGGCAGGGAACAGAGGAGTGACCCTGTTCGTCCTGCTGCTATCTTGCTGGCATGAAGCCAAGCTCCAACCGATCAATATGACTTCAGGTACGGTCACAAGTGGATTATCGAGGCGGTCGAAACGCTCGCCTCCCCGGGGCTGAATCCGGCCACCACGGCTTCTCCCCCGGGGCCTTCCCTACCTTTCCCAATTCATCGTTTATTTCTGGGGGAGAATGGAGTGCGCTGAACCGTTTTCTATCTTTGAAGACTTTTTTTTTTAAGATTTTATTTATTTATTTGACAGAGAGACACAGCGAGAGAGGGAACACAAGCAGGGGGAGTGGGAGAGGGAGAAGCAGGCTCCCCGCCGAGCAGGGAGCCCGATGTGGGGCTCGATCCCAGGACCCTGGGATCCTGACCTGAGCCGAAAGCAGACGCTTAACGACTGAGCCCCCCGGGCGCCCCTCTTTGAAGCCTTTTTAAGCCAGAACTCCATAGGACGCAATCGCCTTTATTATGGAAAATGTGTCACTCGCCCAGAGTCGAGGAATATAGCGTAAAGAACCCGCACCCCGGGTGTCAGCTGCACACCGGCTGGGGTCCCGCACCTTGCGCGACACGTATTCTCATTGCTCCTGGGAGCGCGGTAGCCGCGTCCGGCGGGCCCCGTCCTTCCACGCACACCTCTTCTTGCTAAGCGAAGCCGGTTTTCAGCCACAGGCAGCGTCCTTAACACGCGGGCACGGGCCGGATTCAGTCCCCCACGGTCCCAGAGGCCCTCGCTGGGGACAGTTCCAATCACCCCCGGCGGGCCCCCGCGCACCCCTGGCTCCCGTCCTCGTCCTGGCCCCTTCGGCGTGGAGGATCAGAGCGGCCCGGGGAGGCGGGGACTCGCAGGCCGTGAGGGCACAGGGCGGCAGGAAGGGGTGCTCCGTGACCCCCCACTTCCCGCCAGGAAGCTCCGTGCTCAGGCCACCTGCCCCCCTCGTCCACCTTCCTCAGAGGTCCCCAAAGACGGAAGGAAACGGGCCGGGACGGTGCCCCAGCCCCAGCTCCCCGGGGTGGACGCGCGGGCCCTGGAGGGTCCCCCAGGGGTTGGTGCGGCTCTCCTGGGAGCAGGCCCCCGGCCTCGGCCCCGAGCCCCACACGGCGCTCCCCCTCCCGGCCTCGCCGTGCCCGCGCTGACCCGAGGGGCCAGGCCAGCTGGCCGGGGCGGGGGTGAGAAGGCAGGCGGTCAGGGAAGACGCGAACGTCCCCAGCGTCCTTGTCTCAAGGAGCCGGAGCTCCCAGGCGCCTACAGAGGAGTGTCCTTTGTGCGGCTGTGGGAGCCGAAGGGTCTGTGACACGTGGGGGCCGAGTGTCGCCCACGGCACCGCGCGTCCCTCCAGCCCCTTCCTGCTCACGACTGTCGCGAGCCCGCGTCCCCGGGGCCGGGCCCCAGCGCGGAGGGACGGAGCGCTCCTGCGGCCGCCACAGCCAGCCTGCCCCTCCCAGACCGGCTCTCCTGCCCAGACGGGGAGCCCTGGGGGACCGCCGGCCTCTGCCCCGGCTCGGAAGACCAGTTAAGGGCCGAAATCCTTTCCTGAAAGCGAACACGGGTTCCTATGGCCGCAGCCGGGCACAGGGGCCCCACAAAGGCCAGCTGTGGCCACTCGCGCTGACCGAAAGCGCAGGCACAGAGACGGGGTGGGGACGCAGGAAAGCTTATCTCAGTGAGACCGAAGCCGGGAAGACGGCGGACTACACCTCCCAGGTGCCGAAACCACCCGCAGGCTTCTATGAGGAAACGGGGGCCAGAGGCCGGCAGGTGCGGGCAGGTGGGCGGAAAGGTCCGGTCGGTGTCTCGGTCCGTCCCGGGCAGGGTCTGGCCGGCCCCGGGCAGGCCTTACCCCGAGGGGCAATGTCGGTTCCCATCCGAGGATGTTGGCCCGTCTCTCGCCTGAGTGAAGAGATAAGCCGGAAAGAAGCACTTCATCAATTAGAAAGTTTGAGGTCAAAATGGAGGTAGTTGAAGTCCCGTTCATGCTTCCGGGGGCTCACCGCCTCCCCGGACAGCGCTGCCGTCGGCCACACGGGTCGGCCTGACCCCGAGGAGAGACTGGGGCGTCAGCCATGGGCCCGGTTTGCCTCGTTTGCCCCAAATTAACCAGAGCTCAACTGCAGAGGTCCGCAGGAGCCCTTCCCGGTGCCCAGGTTGGGCACTGTGCAAATACGGAGGAGGAGGGGCCGGGGGATCCTGGTAACTCCGGCGCCTGGCGGTTCGAAGCCCAGAGACTGTCAGTTGGGGGTGACAACAGGCGAAACACGTCCCCGCAACCGCAGTTGACGACGCACTTTAAAAACCGTGCGCATATTATAAGACATAAATATTTTTCTGCACACGCTTACTGGCCGACTCGCACAATACTTCCATTATAATGACGGGACAGACACAAAATGAAAAGAATATTTTTAACAAAGTGCCTGCAGACGCAGCTGTACCCATTCTTAATGACTCATTAATGCCTCATCCAAAGAGAACTGTACTTTTGTTTGCTTCGTTTACGGAAGGTCAGCACACTGGGAAGCGATTGTCATCTCAGCGCAGACCTTTTTACATAGATTTCCTGCATTGTTCCAAGCCCTCTGCGCGCAGATGAGTCCATTGGTATGCAGATTGTCCATCATTAAACCCATTTGAAAATCAGCGGCGTCATTGGTTTACTGTTGGAACCCGAGCGTCTACAGACGCCGCTGGCTTGCTCTGCAGCCGGTGGCCCTGCCCGGCCGGTCCCGGGGCTGCCCTCTCCCCTCCGGGAGCCTGTGGCTGCCTGGGGGCTGGACGAGAGGCTGACCTGGACCTCGAGTCGAGGACAGGGTCCAGGATCGCCCCGCTCTGAGCCAGAAGAGTGGCAGGGAGCCCCCGGCTGGTGCTGCCGCCACGGGGAACCCGCATCAGTCACCGCACACAGCCGGGTCCCCAGCGCGGCGGGTCCCAGAGGCTGCAGCTCAGGCGTCCAGGGAGCCCACGGAAGTCTGCCGTCTGGCCCGGCCCCCTCCCCCGGGAGAGCCCGCGTCTTACCTGTAGACAGACCGCCTGGAATGGCTGTGCTGACGAGGGGGACCCCCTCCCCACCGGGGAACCCCAAGGGGAACAGCAGTCCACACTCCCGTTCCCCAGATCCTATCCCTGAGCCTCCAGTCGGCGAGGAGGCGACAGTGTGCTTTTTGCACAAGGACGTGCGTGTCCCTCTTGGCCGGCTGTCCTCGGAGCTCTGCAAGGGCGGCGTCCTTGGAGCCAGGACGTCTGTTCCCCTGTGAGGGACGCGCCAGGGAGCGCTGCCCAAGAGGCGCAGGGCGCGTCACTCCAAACACAGCCACTCTGCTCACCACTTTGCAGATGAGAGCCCGGTCCTGGGAACCCCGGGCAGGGCTCTTCCCCTGCAGCAGGCTGGTGGGCGCCCCAAAACGGAGACTGTTTAGAGAGGAGTCGGTGCAAATTCAATGAACTGTTAAACTATTAGGGTATTTATTTCCCCCGTAGGTCCAACCACTGAAATGCCACCCAGTTCAAAAAGTCAGGAGGATATGCCTGGAGTATTTGGTAAGGAACCTCCTCATATCAGCATCCGGTCTGTATCTGGAAGGGTGGGTGCTTGTCAGCGGGTGTTTCCCAGATAACCTGGTGCTCCTTGCACAAGGTGGAGGGGTGCAATTCAGTTTGAGGCTAGAATCACATTCCCCGTGGCCCTTAGCTTTAATGCTTACACCCGAAGAGTCAAACTCCCAAGAAGTTAAGAAAGAAGTAGAATTTTAGGCCTTTGGACTAAAGAAGGGCCTTGGGACATCCCTTCTGAAAGTTAGGTCGTGAGCCAGCAGGGCTGAGTCACCGGGAGCTCGTTAGCAATGCCCAGAATCGGAATCGAGCCCTGCCCGAAGTCCTGCTGTGCTGGGAACCTGGGAGCTCACAGGGCTGTTCAAGAGAAATACAACGCAAGCCACAGATATTTTAAATTTTCTAGTAGCTGTATCTTTTTAGAAGAAAGAAACAGGTGAAACTAATTTAACCACATTTTATTTGATGTTACCATTTCAATGGGTAACCAACATAAAAGCACTCATGAGATATTTTCAGCGTTTTATCACACTGAGTCTTCAAAATCTGGTGTGCACTTTGCAACCAGAGGACATCTCCATTGGACCAGATACGATCCACGTGTGTCCACGTGGCCAGAGCTCCAGAGTCCACTGTTCTGGTCCAACGCTCATCTTATATTTCGTACAAGTGAAGCCTAGAGAAGCCCTCTGAGCTGAGAGAGGGGGCTCGGGGCTGGGAATTGGGGGTTCCCTTCTCTCGGAGAAGGAGCCTGGGAGCATGACGCTGGGCTGCCCTCCAGGCCTAGAAACTCAGACAGCAGAGTTCTGAGGACAACGCATGCCTGCCAGGTGACATGGACCCTTCCTAGGAGCGCCCTTGCCAGGACCCTGGGCTTGACCCCATTTCCAAGTCCCGTGTAGCAGAGGCTCGGGAAATCCCCTCTGACTGCCAGAGAGATGGTAGACAGACAGACAGGTAGATTGGCAGATTACATGAGCGAGTGAATGAATGAATGAATGTTCTAGTTCACTGTGGGGCGGCCACCGGCCGCTCACCTAAGCAATCCTGTCTCAGAATCAGAAGACGCGGTTCTGATGCCCGCAGGTTCCTTCCTGTCCCTGCAGCAGAGCCCGTCTGTGAGATGAAATGGTAACATCAGCTCTGTGTGGTTCAGGGCGTGGAGAGAACTCGGGTACACGGAGGACTCCGCCCCGCGCAGGGGTGCGTTAGACTCCCTTCAAACGCTACGTTCGGGTTAGGGAGACTGAGCTCCGGGCCGGCCTGGAAGGGCAACCGCGAGTCCCGGGAACCGGCCCCGCAGGAACAAAGCACCCCCAGGTCAGGAGAGGTGGTGGCCGATACTCCTAAATTTCCTGGCGGGTCTGACAGTCTCGGTACCCACAGGACTGGTCACCAGCACCCACTCCATCCCGTGGGCCAGCCACCCAAGGTCCCGACTACCTGGGAAAAAGAAAGGATAGAGTCACTGGGATTTCTGATGACGTTGTGGGGCTCTTCAACTAAAGCCCAGAGGGGGAACCGAGGCTCCTGCCCCCCCAGCCCCCACCACACACACGCACACACACGCACACACACACCTCCCCCGGGCGGAGAGCGGGAAGCCGTGAGAGGGAGACATCCGTGTCTCTGGAAACACGCGAAGTCCACCAGGTGAGAACAGCAGAGGCTGTGGACTCAGAGCTCCCCTCACCAGGCCGTCGGCCAGGCCACCGTCACGTGCGTGTGGCAGAGACCCCGGCAGGTGGGGCGGGGAGACCTCAGGGTGGCACAGGGACAGCTGGTGAGGGGTGCTGACATGGGCGCCGGCCGGGGACGGCTCAGGGGCCGGGACACCGGGGCAGCTAACCAGAAGCGGGTCCCGTGGGATGGGTCAGCGAAGCACCCTGGGCTTTCCCTGGTTGGTCCCAGGACTCAGGACATCAGGGGCAGGTGGCCCCGGGGGGTGGGGGTGTCTGGTTTCCAGGATTGCTGCTGGAATCACCTTCCTGCAGGGGTGACTTCTCGATGGCAGCCCGGCTGTCTGGGCTGCGGCTGACACAGTGGCTGGTTTTGTTTTTATGTAGGTCTGGTCATTGCCCATTTGTATACTCAATATCTCATTTTCCAGAAAAGAAAATGTAACCATAAGAAATTAGGCATGATCTGGAGACAGTTTTCTTTTTTTTTTTTTTTTTTAAAGATTTTATCCATTTATTTGAGAGAGAGAGTGAGAGAGAGAAAGAGCACAAGAGGGGGGAGCGGGAGAGGGAGAAGCAGACTCCCTGCTGAGCAGGGAGCCCGATGCGGGACTCGATCCAGGGACTCCAGGATCATGACCTGAGCCGAAAGCAGTCGCTTAACGAACTGAGCCACCCAGGCGCCCTGGAGACAGTTTTCTCACTTGCACAACTGTCGGGCTCCCTGAAGGTTTTTGCGACAATCAGATGCACGGTGCTTCTGGAGGCTGTTGAAAGGTTAGGTTTCGGCTTGCTCCCCTCCTGCTCTGGAAGTGGAGCGAAGCCCGCTGGCTGTGGGCTCCCCTTGGCCCTGAGGATGGACACTGTCCATGGGAGCTTGTCCTGTGGCAGCGGGGACATCCACAGCTGATAGTATTTAGTGGCCCCAGGAGGCCACCGCAGCCTCCTTCCCGAGGTGGACTGGTTCCAGGAGCACCCACTTCTCTGTGCCCTTCAGTCGGGCTCCTGTCCCCTGCTGGTCCCTGCCCGCCTTGGGGCCCCCTTGTCCTCAGCCCCTGGTGGGTGCTCCGTAAGGTGCGGTGCACGGTCACACATGGAGAGTCCTGCCCCTCACACGTGGCCGGTTTGCTCAGGACAGAGACTAGGGGCCAGGGCTGGGCCGTCCTTGCCTCCAGGCACCTGGACAGTTTCTGGTACACAGTAAGTGCTCAATAAATGTTTGTTATTCACATGAATAACTTCTCTGTGACCCAAAATCTAACTAGACACCATGATTTTTAGGGACTTAACACTGTAAGTCTTCTTCTGCATCATAACTGGCCCAGAAGAGGGGCCGAGGTCTCCCCAAGGTGGAAGCAGGTGCAGCCAGAGTAGGGCAGCAGTGAAGAATGCCCCTGGCCACATGAGCCGAGCAGAGCGCGGGGGCTCCACCACCCAGGGGCTGCGCTGCTGTGTTACCAGCCGCTCAGTGACGTCCAGCCACGTCCCTGAGGCCACCCCGGCATCCCTTGAGCTCATGCCTGTGGTCATGGGTGGTGTCCGAAGCTCCAGAATGGTGGCCACTCCCAGGGCGGGAAGAAGGAAGGGTGCAGGTTGAAGCACCCGCGGTCTTTGCCAGGAGAAGCGAAGTTCTTCTCGGAGCCCTTTGCATGCCCTGCTCCTCTGGGATGCACACATGGCCCGGGGACAAAGTTCAGGTTCTGTGGGGAGGAAGGAGGACAGCGAGGCTGTTGAGGAGGAAAGCCGCAGAGCCGCCCAGAGCATTTCCCCGGGCATGTCGGCCAAATCTTGGTTTCCAGTGGCACCTGAGGTCTTCTCCCCCTGAACTCATGTATCTCCCATGACCCAGAGCCAGGGTGGACAGCCGTGTGCTTTGCCCAGGACCTCAGGGCTCCCAGGATGTGGCACTTGCCTGCTGAACCAGGAAAGTCTGGGCAAACCAGGGCAGTGGTCACCCTGCTGGAGGGGCTCCAGTCCTAGTGCGTGGACCAGCCAGTCAGGGTGCCCGCTGGGCTGCAGAGATGGGGCAACTTGCCACTGCCCCCTTTTCCTTTGCATTTAGCCTCCATCACGGTCCCCAACTGTGCTAAATGCTGTCTCTGCACACTGCTTTATGTGAACCTCCTAACAAGCCCAAGGAGATAAACACAGACCCATTTTGCAGATGAAAAAACTGAGGCTCCAGGAGGAAGCTGCCTGGATCACGGTCCAGTGAGAGCAAAACCAGAACGTGGGTCCCCTCTGTCGGACACGAAGTCCGGTGCTCTTATGTTAAAAGCTTCCTGGGAGAGGTCAGGAAGACGCAAAGGGAGAAAGCAATGCTGCGTCATGCAGAAATCAGGAAGGACACCGTGCTCACACAGGGACGGCCTGGGAAAAGTCTCAGAGGGGACGGAATGACGGGGTCAGCGAGAAGTGTGACTGCACCTGGGGTCAGGCTTCTAGCATCGTGTCTTTGGGGGACAGTGCTTATTCGTCCAGGGTATCTGGATGGTCTCAGGTTTCAGAAACTGTTGAGGGAGGCAGAGGTCTCCCAGCCAGACAAGGTTCTTTAGGAAGCCAAATCCCGTCTGCATGGTGCTCCTCGAGTCCCTGTTTCTAGTCCCTGCTTCATAGACTGCCTCATGTCCGCGTAGAGCAGAAAGGTATGGATCCTGTACCGCTGGCTTTAACATGTCCTTGTGTGCTTTTCCCAAGATGAAATGCTAGTCCGAGAGATGTTGGATCCAAATAAATCATCAATGGCTGGAAAACAAAGGACGGCATCAACAGTAGCAACAAAATTATTCACGGAAAAAAGCAAGTATACATTTTTAAACCTATAATTGCATATATTCCTGGGTCTGTGGTGGTGAAGACACAATCCCATCTTTCTGCTTTCTTTAAGGCCAGCTACTTCTGGGGCAAAAGCAAATGAAACGTGAAAGAAACAGTTGTCGCAAGCCATTTCTAGAACCTTCCCGAGACCGAGGAGGTCAAGCCCGGGCGGGCAGAGACGAGTTCCCTCTATGTTGGGGTGGTCTCTGGGGTGCACATGCAAGCAAGGTCTTGTGCTCAGGCTGCGAATGGGGTTTAGCCACCGCAGGAAAACGGGGCACATGGAAATAGGAACTTTCAACTACCAGCACACTGACGCGTACCTAAGCCTTTGGAGAGAGTGGGCGGTGACCATGACCCCGTTCCACGGGGGCTAAAACTACGGTCTGAAGCGCTTACCCGAGGCCAGCTGGCTGGTAGTGAGCAAAGATAAAGAACGTGCTTTTCCAAAGTGCAGCTTCATGGTGTTCAGAATGCACATAGACCCATAAACTAGCTCGTGGAGAGCCAAGGCCGAGTGTCTGGGTGACACTTGCTAAGGGGAGAGCTGGGTATCCGAAATCTACACGCAGTGCATGAACTACATTCAGCAGCAAGAAAGTTCAGCTTTGTCTAGAAATTGTGCATCCAGATGTAAATTCCAGTTCCTAGGATTAGCATCACCCAACATCTGCCGAGGCCCACACGGCTGGGTGCAAGGCGGTCAGATGATGCCTGACTCTCCTACATATTAACTTGCCAAAGCACATTTTCAGTAGAACTTGAACACTCCATTAGCACTCCATAAAATACAGTGTGGACCAAAATGTCCATATGTGTGTAATCAAACAATTGTTTCCTTATTTTTTTCCATGTTCTTCATCAAAGATCCCATCCTGAATGAGAATTTTCAAGTTGGTGTTCCTCAGAATTATCATGGACTCCCAGATAATTCACAGTTCTCTCTTGGCAGTGAGGACAAAATTTTCAATAATGGTAAATGCAACCCGCTAATCCCCTACCTGCGTGGAGAACCCAGTGGGGAGGACGGAGGAGCCAGGCAGGGGCAGATGGGGACAGCCCCGTCATGGAGGATGAAAAGTGTGGCTGGACAGGGAGGCAGCCCCACCCGATGTGGGCAGATTTCCAGCTCTGTCAAGGAACCGCCAGCCGCCCACCCCTGCCCATGACTCTGACCTCGGGAAAGCACGGCCTGGAGGAGGAAGGCAGGAACGTCCCTGCAGGCAGGGGGCTGCCCAGAGGAAGGGCCTCCACACTGCCCGCCCCTCCCAAATCCAGCTAGGTCAATGCCCCTCCCGGGGGCGGGTGGGGAGAGCCAGTGCCCCCCGCCAGCCAGGGAGGCCCCCAGGAGTGGGGGGAAGCGTCCCTCCAACAGCCGAAGTGGCTGACATGGATTCCAGTCGGCCAAGGCTCCAAGCGGTGCCTGGGGGTGACAGATCTTTCCTTTACCCTGAAGACTACACAGAAGAAAGGTCACCTGTGCAGCTCAGGGGACACCTGCCCTGCGAGGTGTGGGGCTGGGCCCTGAGGCAGGACCTTGTCAAATGGCAACTTTCTGCTTCTCTCACTCCCTCTGTTTATTTATTGGGAGTTTTGCCCCGAGGAAGAGCTTGTCCCATATTTACTCATTCTTTCCTTTGTTCCTGCCTCATTGGCTCACCGCAGATTTGCCTTGGGGGCTCCATCCATTTGGTTCTTCTGTCTTGTTGCGCCCTCCTCTTGAACACTTCCCTAATTTCTGGCGCTGTGAGGACTTTTAGGCTTCTAGCCCTTTCCCTGCCCCAGCCCTGGAGTCTGATTTCTTTTCCCAGAGGACAGAACTTAGAAACGAAGACATGGGTGCTGGGCGGACTTGAGGAGAATGCCAATCCTTCCAGCCTCCCTCCGCAGGCAGGGCTGGAAAATGTGTGACCACACACGGAGACACACGCACACGCAGACACACACACATGTGCACACAGAGACGCACAGACACGTGCACATGCAGAGAGGCACACACACATACAGAATTAGATTGTACTGTCGCCCACCCTCTTCTCTACATAAAACCACGACTTCAAGCTGATAATCTGATTCCACCCAATATCACAGAATTCCTCCAGGCCTCCCTCCTGCTCCTTTGCAACTCTTTGTTAAAAATATGGCTCCCATTTTCCACAATAATTTAAGCACTTGCCTAGTCCTAGAGGTTTAGAATTTGCTACCCTGCACCCCTGGAAAAATCAGATCTGCCAACAGGAGAATGGTGTTTGTGAGGAGTTCTTTGTCTCCAAAAATATGTAGTTTGCAAAGTCACCTAGAGTGGGTCTTTCCTCCTGCCCATTCTCTGCATGTCTTTCTTAGCTCATTGCTACTATGGGCATATTTTTTTGGTCTCCTCGTGCTGTTGATTTTAGATATTTATATTTGAATATGTGAGCATTACCGTGGTTTTAAAAGTCATCACAATAGAAAAAGGTACATACCGGAAACTACTAGCAGCCCACCATGATGTGCATCCCCAGGGCAGCAACCCCAAGAGTCCTGTGTTCCCTTTGGTACAAATGAGGAGATGAGCATACACTCATATCTCCATCCCTCGTTAGATGAAGGTGCTCACCGTAAATTCGCAGCTTCTGCCCTGTTCCCTGCACACTCTGTGCTGAGAGCCGCTCCAGCCTGTCACAGAGAAGGAACCGTGGCTCCTGCCCACGTGTGGTCTTTCTACTTGCTTCTGTTTACATTGTTTCTGCAGTCACACACGATGTCGCAAGGAACAGCCCGGTGTGCATGTGTTTGCCTATTGTTGGACACGTAAATTCTCATAACTGGGAGGCTGGGTCAGCAAACGAGTAAATACATATTCTTAATAGTCAGATGACATCTGACACGATGCTTGCATGATAACTTTCCAGGCCACATTTTTAGATTAAACTTGAAAATGATATTGGCATTTCAACTTAAAGTTTTAAAATAAAGTATGGGACAAAACCTTCATAAGTGTGTAATCAAAACAATGTCCACCTGTTTTTTCCATGTTCGTCATCAAAGAACCCAGCACTGATGAGAGTTACCAAATCGGCAGTCCTGAGGGTTATGGTGGATCACAGATCTCTCCTGGTGGTAAGCACAGACTTTCCAAGGGCTGTAACGGCTACTTGGTAACCACCTTGCCTACGTGCCAGGGAGACCCGGGGCGGGCCAGTCATCTGCCTCGCTGGTTATGAATGAGAACGGCTCTACCACCATGTGCTTTACCTGTTTTATTTGTGGGTGTGAGTGCTATTGATTTCTGTAGGTTAATTTCTTGTTCTACTGTCTTACTAAATTATTTTATTGCCTCAGTTCAGTTTATCATTGATTCTTTAGGGTTTTCCAAATATATTGCATTATCATGTACAAATAGAATTTTCTTCTTCTTTACCAATATTTTTGCATCTCATTGGTTTATCTAATTGCATTGGCTCATATTTCGAGAATAATGGTCAAAAGTAGCAGAGTTAGTGGGTTTCTGTGCCTTGTTCACCATCTTAGCTAAAATACCCCTAGTGTTTAGCCAATAAATAAGATTCTGGTCCTAGGACAAAGGCATACGTATTTTAACAACTGAAGAAAGTATCCATCAATTTTTTTACATTTTGTCATAGTCTTTTTCATTCTTTGGCAATACCAAATTTTTGTTCTTTAGGCCTAGTAATGTGAAGTGGTGTATGAATGGATTTTCCAATATTGAACCAACCTTGCATTCCTAGAATAAATCTTACTTGGTCATGTTGATTATTTTGGATTCTGCTCCTCAATGTTTTATTTAGTATTTTTGAACCCAAATACAGTTCATAGGTGTATATTAGTCTGTAGTCTTTCTGTACTATCTTTATCAGGTTGAAATGTCAATGCTATACCTAATTCACAATAAAGAATTTAAGGGTTTTTCCTTCCTGTTTGAATCTCTTAGAAGATTTAGAGCTCTGGGGCGCCTGGGTGGCTCAGTTGGTTAAGCGACTGCCTTCGGCTCAGGTCATGATCCCAGGATCCTGGGATCGAGTCCCGCATCGGGCTCCCGGCTCAGCGGGGAGCCTGCTTCTCCCTCTGACCCTCTCCTCTCTCATGCTGTTTCTCTCTCGCTCGCTCTCCAATAAAGAAATAAATAAAATCTTTAAAAAAAAAAAAGAAGATTTAGAGCACTGAAACCATCTGGTCTTTTCAGATCTGTTAGAAATGCCCTGTGAAACCATCTCCTTCTGTTTTTTCTCAGGTAGTTCCTTAGTAACTTTTCCTGTTTCTTCCAGGAAAAGCAATTCATTTAGTCTCTCTTAATCAAATGGAGTCAATTTTAGCAAACTCCATTTCCCTGGAGAACGACCCATTCCTTCTGTGTTCTCAAATGTATTTGCATGGAGGTCCCTAAATTAACTCATTATTTTAAAGATATCATTTGTCCCCACTGCTATTTCCCCCTTGTCATTTCTTATTTTATAAATATATGCTTTTTCTTTTTCTTTCTAATCAGGTAAACTAGTAGCTTGTCTATTAATTTTTCCCAAAAGCTAGGGTATTGACATATTAACTAACTTCACTATATTTCCATTCTGCATTTTATTAATTTCTACCTTTGTCATTAATATTTCCTTTTTTATGCTTTTTTTATAGTGCACTTTGTTGCCTGTCTTCCAGTTTTAGAGCTGAGTAATACATTTATTTCATGTTACTAATAAGTGGTTGGTGCTCTGCTCCTTTAAACATAACCCATAGATTCTCATATATAGTGTTTTAATTATCATTATTTTCCAGAAATTCTATACATTTTAGTTTGCACTTCCTTTTTACCCAAAAGTTGTCTAATAGAACGTTTTCCAATTTTTAGGTGGTAGGACCTTTTCTCTTTGTTTCTGTTAATAATTTCTAGTTTTTATTATACTATGATCAGAAAGTGTTTTTAATAGTTCCACTTTGTGGCTGACTTATGTTTTCTCTGCGACCTGATATATTATCAGTTTTTGTGAATATTACACAAGCACTTGAGAAGGTGTGTCCTCTGCTGTTAGGATGGGAAGGGTGCTTGGTGTGTATTTATCATGTCTGCTTATCAACGATGTTTTTGAGCCCCCTCTCTGCTTCCCTATTATTTTCTCCCCTGATTCTTTTACTAGGATGGTGTGCAAATTCCCCCACTATAAATGTGTTTTTGTGTGTGTATCCTTGCATTTCTTGTAGTTTTTGCTTTACAAGCATGATTCTTGTGACGTTTTGTGTGTGGATTATCATGAGCATTATCTCTTCATTGTGAACTCTAGCTTTCAGTATTAAAAAGAGCCCTTCTTTGTCACGTTTAATGCTTTGGGGCTTAGATTTTACTTTCTCTGATATAAGGATCGCCACGATCTGCTTTCTTATTAGTTCAATTTACCTGCTGTATTTTTGTCCATTTCTTCATTTTTAAATAACTAAGCTATATGCCTGTATATATACAATATATACTTGGATCTTGTGTCAGCCCTTTAATTAAAAGGAAACTGCATCGTGAAGTACAAAGCCTCCCTCTGGGGGAAGGGTCAAGAAAACTGAGTCTGAGCCTGCATCACTTCTTTGCTTCTCTCACTTCCTGCTACAGCCTGAGTTAGACCTTCTAATATTTTAGAAAAAGCTAAACAGAAGGGTTAAGGCAGCTCCCACTTCAACTTGGCTCCTAAAAACTGAGGGGAAGATGTAAGGTGGAGCTGGGATCATTGGTTTCCTGGGGAAATCGAGGCTGGTTTGCTTCCATGCCCCCACCCACCGGTCACAGGAGCCCTTTGTGGCCCCTCCCCCGTGGACTGTGGCCTCCCGAGGGGGATGTCGTGTCCTCCTTGCCACCCTGCACTTTGTACGGAGCAGGTGTCTGTGGGTTCTGGATGAATTAACGAAGCGCCACAGCTGAAGGGGACCCCGAAACCTTGGGGTTTGTTTGAGCACAAGACCAGCAAAGATGCTGCTGGGGAATGTGTGGAGAAAATGTTGATTCATTAACACTGAGAAAAGGCAAGATTCCATAATGTTCTCACAACTTCACAAGCAACTGAAAGGCAGTTCAATAGTCACTGCACGCTGCACGAGGCGCTGGTTCTGGGCCCACAGACGAAGCACCGAGGACCTGGCCCCGCGGTGCTCACAGACTCGGAGGGCAAACGGGCCCGGAAGACGGCGGCCCAGAGGAATCCGGCTGGAAAAGCAGGTGGGAAAAAGAGAAGCTTGTGGAAGGCGAACCACAAAGACAAGCCTGGCAGAGAAGAAAGACGAGACAAGGCAATGGGACCATCTGGAGAGAAACCACCGCCTTTGTGGGTGCTGGCACCACCTTTCCAAAGGAAGAGGTTCCCTCAAGCAGGCGGTTTTCAAACTGCTACCATGAGTGGGCCATGAAATCAGCTTTCGGGGTTGGCACCAACACTTAAAACACAAGAAGGGAACGAAAGCAGAGCGCACGTGCTGATGGCACTTCTGTTTCCCGAGACAGAAAGACCTAGGTCATGACAGCTCCGTCCCTGCCGCCGGGGGCTCCTCGCCACGCCGCAGGGCAAGCGGGCTCCAGCTGCGTTATCCATCTGGGCACCTGGGCTCGGTTCTTACGTCGGTCAGAACGAGGGACTGCAAGAACGGATTGTCTCTCTGTCCCGGGGACAGGAGTCCCTGGTGAAGGTCAGCAGCTGGTTCCCTTGGAGGCCGTGAGGCATATCTCCCATGCTCTCCCAGCCCCTGGTAGTTTCCCCGAGGTCTTTGGGGTTCCTTGGCTTGTGGAAGCCTCTCCCTGACCTCTGCCATGTTACCACGTGGCCTCCTCCCTGTGCGTGTGTCTCTGTGTCCATAATAACACCAGTCATATGGGATTAGGGCCACCCTGTTTCCAAAGGACACCAAAGGCCTCTAGGGTGACCCATGACACCACCGGGCAGCAGATACCTTCAAGCCAGCGCCTGGGAAACAGGCCACGGGGTTTCCCCACTGAATGTGGACTGCATTAAAAAAGCAGTAAATACTTTGTCATTTTAATTTAATTAAGAAATAGTGCGAGGCTCAGAGAAGCCCTGTCTTCTTTGCTGCACTGTTTCCCGTCATGGTCGTCCGGGCCCTGTTAACCGGCGCTGGCCAGGGACGGGAGGGGAATGTGGGTCTCACGGGGGTGGGGCGGGGCAGGTGGCCAGAAGGCTGCTTCTGAGTGACCAGTGTCTGGGACCCTTAGAATCTCAAACCCACCGTGGGAGCTCTTCTGTGAGAGGCTGTGGTCTGGCAGGGAAGTGACCTTCCAGAGTCTTCCCACTCCTAAGCCAAGACTGACGGGCCTTCAGTTTTGTCCAGCTGCTGTAATACCAAGAGCATTCCATGTCTCATTCGTGGGCTGAACCTGTGTTTTTGCCCTGAGCTTCATTGTTGTGGAAGGGAAATCAGGAGGAAATTCAGCCAGCACCATGTTGCCTGTAACCATGATGACATTACCTCCAGGGGCCCTTCAGCTCCTCATTGCAGGAGAAAGGGCCCCACAAGCCAGTGGTCCCCATGGCTGCCCACAGGCCGCGTGTGGGTGTAGGCATGGAGGAGGGCGGGGGTAGGTGACTTGTGGACAGGCCTGACACTGTCGCATGTGGATCTTAAGTTCCCAGACGGGGGTGGCAGTCCAGACCGCCAGCATGGGAAGCCGCTCTCACTGCCTTCCCCGATGTGGAGAAGCGGATTTTGCAGCCAGTGAGAGAGTAGCCGTCTCCCAGAGGACGACTCGTCCACAGAACTCAGACGCTCTACCTGCATCCCTGCAACGCCATCCCCCCCACCCCCAAGGCCCAGAGCACCGCAGGGGGGACCCAGGACAGACAGGCTCTGGAAGGTGCCACGCGGGCCCACGGTAATGCATACAGCAGGCATTCAGCGGAGTCACTGCTGAACCCAGCACCCACCGGATCTATTTTCTCCCCAGAAGCCACGTGAACGTAGCCCCCTCCACAGAATGAGCAGACAGTGGGAAGATGCCCAGTGCGGCGGTCACTGGATGATGATGATGTAGGGGCGGACGCACAGACCTGTGTGTGGACACATGCCTCATCTGAGGGAAAGAGAGCTTCCGGTCTAAGATGATCTTCTGGCCTGAAAAGCTG